CATAGTCCCTCCCCTCCTGAAAACCGGGCTCAAAGCAGTTGCTTTCAGCTTTGCAAGGGTTCCCGAACTCAGCCGGCCAACAGCTAGGGCAAGCCCAGGTGGACCCCAGACCCCGAGTCAAAAGGAGCCTGAGGCGAGACTTAGAGCCAAACCAGCTTTATTCTAGTGCACTGTAGAACAAAGGGAGACGAAAGGGGATATGCAGCCCAAAGCAGTGTCTCAAAAGTTGCACCTCAGTACATGCATTTTATACCCTACGTTAGCAATTAGGTCACCTAATACACATCTGATGCATCAGTATATCAGTGCATGTACCCTCTCCCCTGCTGTTAGCTTCAAAGAGTCCTTTCTTCTATCAAGGACCAGGCATTTCCCGTGTCTATTTTGTACCTGCTCAAGATTCATACAGGCATGCCATCTTCTTACTCCCTGCACATCTTTAACTTTCATAGGATCTATAACCAGTTTCCACTGTCCCTTTGATGACTGTATTCGAGGTCAGGCTAGCTTGTTAGCTGTGGGTTACACAAAGTTCATTTTGTTCTTATCCCCACTCCCTATTGAGTCATGGAGTTTTTTCCCTATGTGGCCTCCCTCTGCCAACTACTTTTGGGGTGCTGTGATTGGCAGGAGCAGCTGAGAGCAATCTCATTGCAGGCCAGGCATATCCAGTGGCGTACCCCTTAAAGCCAGGATAGGCTTCCCTAGAGCCTTTCTTTTCTCAAGGAAAAATAGTATCCTGGCCGGCTTCTCTGTTGCTGGTTGTCCACTACCCACTTCACTTTGCAGCAAGAGAACTCAAAATTCCCAGGAAATACTCATATTTTGCTCTCCTTCATGTATATGGCTCTCCCCTGAGGCAAAAAGAAAAAGAGAAAGATTTAAATTTCTTAATATTAGGGCTGGCAGTTAACTGAAGAATGTTCAATGTCCCTTTAAGAGATCTCAATATGTGCATTATCAAAATCTCGGTATTTTTACTTTTATGAAGACGCTGAGCATATTAAACTAAGATCACTTACTGTTTAATTAACAAAGCCTACCATTCATTGCATCAGGAGCTACTTGGGCTGGACTCAAGAACATACAGATTTGAAGTTACTCCAGTGTGATGAAGCCACTGATGCTAGAACATAGAACATTTCCTCAGCTATGAAATGACTCTACCCAGCTAGGTTTGCCAATGAATAGGAAAGGGGGAGCAATTTGATCAGTCCATATTTTGGAACCTTTGGAGTAGCTCCCTGCCCCCCCCCCCCCCCGGAGAGGTGTGCCTGGTGCCATCACTGTTATCGCTTTGGCACTGTGAAAAGGCATATCTCTTCTCTGGCTATTTTAATAGTTGATTTTAGCAGTAACTTGATTTTAACTGACCCTGTTTCTGGTATATAGTTAGTTTTTGTTTAAATTGTTTTATTCAAAGTGTTTATGTCATATTTTAATTTAATATTTTGAATGCGTTGCTTATGAATTAGTGTTACTGATTTTAGAATGTTTTGCTATTTTAATTGTAAGCCACACAGAGAGACCAGGTATGGGCTATTGTGGTGGCATATACATTGAAATAATAAATACATACATAAATATTTTATTGTGAATTTACCTAATTTTGTACTTTCAAACCACTGAGGCTGAAAGTTAAGTGTGAACTGAAACTCAGTTAGCCTTTCAAATTTGCATTCAGATGGAACCCAGAGATTTGAATTTTGCAATGAAGTTATTTATTTATTTATTAAAACATTTCTATGCTGCCCCTTGCCGAAGCCTTGGGGTGGCTCACAACACAAAATAAAATACAATAAAATACAAAAGTTATCTAAGCATTACTCGAGAAGATTCCTGCGAGTCCCTTGGACTGCAAGGCGATCAAACCAGTCAGTCCAAGAGGAGATCAACCCTGAGTCCTCTTTAGAAGGCCAGATCTTGAAGATGAAACTCAAATACTTTGGCCACCTAATGAGAAGGAAGGAGTCCCTGGAGAAGAGTCTAATGCTGGGAACAATAGATGGCAAAAGAAGAAGGGGACGGCAGAGAATGAGGTGGCTAGTTGGAGTCACCGAAGCAATTGGTGTGAGCTTGGGTGGATTCCAGGGGATGGTGGAGGACAGGAGAGCCTGGAGGAATGTTGTCTATGGGGTCATGATGGGTCGGACATGACTTCGCGACTAACAACAACAACAAAGCATAAAATGCATATATTAGAAGAAATAATGTTAAAATACATTATACTGTATGAGGAACTATGTTTGCAAAAAATGTGCTTATGAGAAATGTGCCTAAACTTGCTTGTGAATTTATTGCAGAGATTTGTTAAATGCTCAATGTTCCGAGTAAAGCAAATATAAGACTTGAGGAAAAGAGAAACCATCCATCCATCCATCCATCCATCCCTGTCATTGGGTCCCCCATTGTTAATTCACAAATAATTATAAAAGCTTTTTGTTCAGGCAGAGACTTCGCATGGGAAATGATAGTTCTTACTGGCTTTTGATACTTAGATAACCTTCTGGCCCCTAGGTACTCATTGCCTGTTTTGACAGTTGGATATTAAAACATTTTGAGAAGACAAGGTCACCTTTTTAATACTTTCTTTAAATCATTTCCCTACAGTCCATATTGCAATGATTCTACAGATATAGAATAGCTCTCAAAAGGAAATACTCTTGATTTTCAGCCCAATGAGTAGAAAGTCTTATATATATGTGCCTTCTCCCACAGTTTCAGCTGGCACTTAGGAATTTTTTAAAAATCCCATCTCACCTTTGGTTAGCAATACTGTGGCAATGCTAAGGGCATCAGCTCTTGTATTAGTATTCTAACTTTGTACCTGATAACTAAATGGAGATTTTCAAGGCAATGGAATAATTGTAATTAATTTTTTAAACATGTTTCCCCCTGTAGCCATAAAAAAGAATTACTACATTTCTTCAGGTGTCAGATATTTCAATTTTAGTGAAATTGTTCAATAAAAACAAAATATGTTCTTCTGAAGGTTTTGAGAGGTCTTAATAAGAGCTGTATGTAGAATATAATAAATCTTAGTCCTTACATTAACAAAAATTGATCAGTAATGTCAGTAGATTGTATTAGTATTCTTGTTCAATATTTCTCATTGTAAAAAGCAATTGAACAATTACTTCTTGTTGAACAAAATAAACAGCATTTTTATTAGTCCATTTTTCCTTTTTCATTAAAAATTCAGTTATCCATCTATCTGTCTTACACTCCATGTGTGTATGAGCTAATAATCATTAATAATAGATTCTGCTGATGCTTATAATACACAGCAATCTAAAAATTCTCACCACTGGTACTCTGAGTTTTTAAATACTACATCAAACAAAATGCAAGAAATTGTTCATTTGTAGCATTTTTATCTGAACGCTTCGGCTCAAAAGACTGGTAAACTGACTAATATAAAAAGAGATATAATTAAATTGAGAAAGCCTAGGCACCAGCTCTTAAATTGCAAACTTCTTATAACTACCGGATTGAATTATAACAGTTGAGGGAGGGGGTAGTCAGATGGAGTTGGTCTCCCAGCCAGTCCTTGCCATCTGGAGTTCCCTCTCCCTCTCCCTCTCCCTCTCCCTCTCCCTCTCCCTCTCCCTCTCTCTCTCTCTCTCTCACACACACACACACACACACACACACACACACACACACACACTTTAGCAATGAGCTGGAATGGCTGCTGTTAGGGGAAGTGGTGGAAAGAGGAACCAACCTGAGCTGATACTTCAGTAAACTGAAGGAATACCCATGCTTCGCATCTCTTGTCTTGCCTTTCTCGCTGTGCCTCCCATGACTACTGCAGGCAGTTTGGATGGCTGTTTCTAAGGGACAGTTCAAGAAAGGAGAAGCCAAAAGAAACCCTCTTTCCCATCCAGCCACAGAGTCACCCCAGTTCCCATTTCTCCCTTTCCTTTGAGTACCTGCTTTGGTCAGTCCCTGGCATTTCTAGGCAGGGCAGGAAAGACTCCCGCCTGAGCCCCAGAGAGCTGCTGCCAGTCCATGGCATCAGTCCTGGACTTGCTGGATCCAAGATCTGATTCATTATATGGCAGGATGTTTCTTTACGGAGAGGTAGGTCCATTGCAGAGGTCCTCTCTTGATCAGTGGTTTGGCAGGAAGGGCAAAAGAGGGAAGACTCCAGAGATGAATCAGGGTCTCTACCAGGTCCAGGGTCCCCACCATTCCTAGACATGCCCTGTGACTATGAGGGGAAAAGATTTGGAAGGACAAACTGGTAAAAAAGGAAAAGGAAAGGTTAAAACCCCACCCAGCCTAACCCTGGCCAGCACAAGCCTATCAGGACTTGGGAAGTAGCCGTTCCTCTGGCATGGACTGTCCGTTCTCTACCCCCATAAGCTGTCTTTGCCTAGAAATGGCTGTGTTCTGTTTTCCCAGTTGCATAGGCTAAGTTAGACCCCTGCCTGAGAAACTGGGGAGCTGCTGTTAGTGTAGATAGACAATGATCTGATGGATGTAAGGCAGCTTCACAGAATGAATTGCATGTCTCCATTACTCAGTTATTGATAGCAAAACAAAAAGCAAATGGACAGGTACCGTTAAATAGCTCCTTTATTTGAGGAAAGCAAAACAAAAGGTTTTGTTACTAAATAATAAGTAAAGGGGAAGAAAAAGCAATGCAAACCTGAAAAAACCTGAACAGCCCAAGATCCAAAGTTTATTTCACTTTGCTTAAAAATCCAATTTTCTTTCACCTTGTATTTAAGCAAAGTAAGCAAGGGATCCATTGTATGGCCAGGAAGTAAACCATTGTTAAGGAGTCCTTAAAATGCAGAAATCCACGCTACCTAAAATGAACATGTTCAAATCTACATGGCATACCAGGTTTATTTTTCACACAGTGCAACATCTCATTCTTCAGCGACTCATATTGTCAACATTTTAGAAATATGATCTTCACAGTAACATTTGCGGGTGGGGGGAGAGACACAAAGAAATAAACCATCTTTTGTTTTGGTTGTTTGTAGCTGAACTCTTCATGGAACGACAGCATCTCAAAGAAGCCGGCTTTTGTATCCAGGAGGCAGCCAGCCTCTTCCCTACATCTCACACTGTGCTGTACATGCGGGGGAGGCTTGCTGAGATGAACGGCAGCCTCGAGGAGGCGAAGCAGTTGTATGATGAAGCACTAACAGTGAATCCAAGTGGCGTGGAAATCATGAACTGCTTGGTGAGTGTGCATAAGGGGCTCCCATCTTGGTTTATGCCCATGCCATGTTGCCAGGGGGTTGTTCCATGGGGGTCACTGCAGATCCGGCAGACAGATTCCCAAGAGTTTCATTCTGTCATGCAGGGCCCGTTGACAGCAGCTGGATATTTCTTCCTGGAAAATCCAGCATCTGCTCCTGTCCTGGATGGACCTTTCTGGGAAGTTAAGGCTTTGCGAATGTTGTGAACTCGGTGAGCAGGTTGCAGTTACTGAACACTCCTGGTCCAAATCAGCCCTAAATATCTGGCACCAGGAACGTTCCAAGGCCTGAGGCTTCGCCTTCTCCGCATCAGCCTTCGGACAAACATGGCTGTGCATATATAGGTGTGTGTTTGGTAAGCGTGAGAGGACAGCCGGAACACTCACACACCTGCTCTTGTAGTATGGTCACTTTGAGGAAGACTCCCGGAGTAAAATCTAGCCTCTGCATGAACCCCATCGGTAGCCTCAGGCAACGCTCAGCTCCCTGAGTCTCAGCTATCCATTTTTCATATCACAGTAATGATACTAATTTGCTCTGCAAGATTACCAAGATCGTGTGCATTAAATGCCGCAAATTGCCCTGGATGATGCTGGTTTTACATTCAGAATGCAAGATGTGCCCTGCTGGATCCGACTGGAGGTCCACCCAGGCTCCAGGTTGCTTGTAAGAATTGCATGGCAGATGCAGCCAGGAACTCTCAGACAGGGCACAAAGCTCTGCCTTTCCTGTTTGTATCCTAGCAATTGCTATTCAAAGGTATACTGCATCTGAATATGGAGGTTTTGAGCCACTTTGCTATCACCACATCCAGAGGTAACAAATTCTCTATAATGAGGTATTGCGCAAAGAACTTACTTTTGCCTGCCCTAGTGTGCTGCACAACAGTTTCTTTGGGTAACCTTGAATTCTAGGATTAGCAGTCAGAATATTTCTCTCCCATTTTTTCACACCATCCATCATTTCTTTTTCTTTTTTTTTTATCAGGTATTTATATCCATCTCTCCCAGTGAGTTTTTCTAGCAAAACAAGTTGTCCTCCCTATATATATATTTTTATAAGAGCCAGAGTGAGAAAGAGTTACAAATAATTGTTTGCATGGCGAGTGGACCTCTGTCATTAGGGAATGCAAGGTGCCAGCTGACTGGTTCAGTGTGTTTCCAAAGCCAGATCTCCATGTGAGCTTTGCCCCTGGAAAATCAGCACTAATTAGTCCAGGACTTTCACCTGTCTCCAGACTGTCAGAAAAATCCAGCCTGAAAACAGTGTGACTGATTTTAAGCAGTGAGCAGAAACCAGCTGGCTTTTTGATAGCTTCAGGCAAAAACAAGCAAGTTATAAACACATGTGGAACTCTACACCATTGCATTTAATGACAAAAGCAGGGAAGCCATTGGTTGCCCATTAAAAATGCTTAATATAGTACCGGGTTATGAGTTTTCCGAAAGTTGTTCCACCCCATACAGTTCAGTGGGGCAGGAAGGGGACAATCTCTGCTTCATTGATGATGGTGCAGCAGCCATTCAGATTAATTTATGCTCTGTAACTTTGTTCCAAGTTTTGATTATTAAGATGCTAAGTGTGAAAAGCAGAAGTGGGAGACACTCCTTGTTTTAGTGGTGTGCCTTTATAACTATTTTGTATGTTTTATTAATCTGACATATTTTCACACTGCTGCTCAACCAAACAGGCTTCCTGAGAGGTTTACCCATAATCTACGAAGCATGGCCATGCCTGCTTAAAGGCTTACAATCTAAATAAGCGCGTCACACAAGGAAAAAAATGGGGAGGGATCCAGTGGAACAGCCCTCCTTCCCCCTCATCTCAGGCCAACCTCAACAACGGCCTCATTCAAAATCCAGCCAGAAGCCAACTTCGCAGAACATAAAACTCGAGTCATTTGGGCTGATGAACAGCTTGATAAGAATTCCATCATTTGCCTATTGATTCAGCCTGTCGTACGCATGCCATTTGTCACATGACGATGCGAGACCACATCTGGGGTCTTCGGCAGGGGTCCCATCCCCACGCTGCCTTTCCACCATATGTGTCTGCTTGCAGCACATTCAGTCTGAAAACGGGCATGATCCACGTCCAAAAGTCAGTGTCTAGTTTTTTCTTTACCCGCTGCTAATGGGCATGAGCATCCCATGGCCACTTGCGAGGCAACTCTGCAGTATTCTCCAGAAAGGACCTGCTGCTACGGTTTAAGGCATCTGTAACACGAAACTGCACTGCCCAGGTGGCAGTGTTGCTGGCCTGCAGCAAAAACGTATTATTCATTCATGAATTAATTTATTTATTCATTATAAAACACCTAAAAACACCCTACACTAGAACCAGTGTTGCATGGAGTGTGTTGCTTAAATGTGCCAACCAGTCATCTCCAACTTATGGCAACCCCATGAACGAAAGCCCTCCAAAATGGTCTGTCCGTGACAGCTCTGCCCAGCTCTGGTGCTGAAAACCAGTGACAGTTCACAAAACAAAATGTGTGGACGTAAATATTGCAAATGATCCTGGAAGGTTTCATTTTTCTTTTGCTCGCTCTGACTTTCAGGTGGAATTGGCTGCTGCTGCTTTGTTTATTTATATCTGCAGCACTGTCTGAATCCAGTGGGAAAAGAATGAGATTTTGGTGATTTGTAGGCATTGCACCCAGCTGAAGGGAGGCATCCTATAAAAGGAAATCAAAAATAAGAATGAGGCACAGCCACTAGTTTTGCTTGCTTTGTTCTGTATACTTTTCAATAAAGTGTTTTGTACTTTATTCTACCTCTTTTATTGAATACAACAGATCATTGCTCCACTAGCTGTTGCTGTTGTCACAGCGCTGATCCTCACGGCCAGTTCTTAAATTCTAGAAGCGGGAAAATTGCGACATCCTCTTGGTTTCCTCTCACTCTGTTCTGGAAACATTTGAATGTCTGAAAACAGGGCCACTTCCTGCTCCCAGGAGTGGCAGTGCTAGCATGATAAATAATTACGAGTACATAGATTGGTTCCTCCCTATGATTTCCACAGTTCAGATGTTAACCAGAGCAGTGTGAGAAACAAATCATGAGGATACAACGCTTCCATCTTTTCCGGAATACATAATTTATTTATATGTTTATTTATTTATACATTAATTTACTATCTTTTAGTCAAACAGATGGGGCAGTTTACAAGAAAATACAAAATGATGAAACCAACTTCAGAGAACTTCTGTGAATGAACTTATAGAGCAGCTGGCTTTGGGTACTCATCATCTTGCTCTACGCTTCAAGCCGGAGAAGATCTCTGGCTTGAAAATGGCATTTGGTTTGGAATACACCTGAATGACGCTTGCTGGAAAAGATGCATTCCAGCCAAATCATGGAAATTTCACTCCTTTCAAATATGCAGTGCAAGAGGTTAAGAGAAGGGCTTAGTCTTCCAGGAAGATGGCTACTGAAACACAAGCGTGCTTCTAATCCAGTCAGGCAAGGGCAAGTATGCTATAGTCCAAAGGCTTGGCAATGGTCTAAAAGAATTACTGAATAATTAGTGTGATTAAGCCTTGGTTGCAATCAAAACAGTAGCTGTGACTGTCTGTCTCCAGGCAGGCATCCTTGGCCATTATCCATTGCCTCCTTCTCTGTCTGTGCTTCCTACTGCTCTTGAAAGGAGCGGCGGTCTCCTATCATGCCGTCTCTTGCAGCCATGATAAAGCTTCCACGCAGTAGTCAGAGAGGAAGTAGGAAGGACGTTGTAGAGCAGCCATGGTGTTCTCTTTAGAGACACCTCAAACCTTCTATGAGTAGCAGTGATACTGGCTGGCTGCCTATATGGTCCGAGCCCAATTCAAGGTGCTGGTTTTGTCCTATAAAGCCCTGCATGACTTGAACCCATAATAGCTGATGGAACGCCTCTCCCAACCTTCATCTACCCAGGCACTATGATCAAGTCTTGGGGCCCTCCCCTGATTGCCACTTCCGAGGGAGAGTTGTATGGTGGCAACAAGGAGAAGAGCCTTCTCAGTGCTGCTCCTCCCGCCATTATGGAAGGAGCTCCCCGCTGAGGCCTGCCTGGCACCAACTTTACTACCTTTTTGGCTCTAGGTAAAAACAATTCTCTACTGCAGGGCATTTAAGTAGTTACTGGGGACTGCTGGTCGCAACTCACAGGGCTTTGGAAAGGATTGCCAAGATCAGGAGTGCAGAAGGGCACTGCTAGGCATACGTCTTGTTTGTGGGCTTCTTTTCAAAGTAGATAAACTTTTGGCCTGATCTAGCGTTGCTCTTTTTAATACTTATGTATATTGTGAAGCACTCTGGAACTTTGCTAAGTTTGCTAAGCATTCAGGATGTTCCTAACTTCAGCAGCTGGTGCTGAGAGGAATACTACTAACCATTCATAGCCTTATGCACTGTTATTAAAGGGGAGTAGAAGTGATGTCAGAATGGCTCTTTCATGTTATATTCATTCCCTTCTACCAGCATTTCCTTTCTCCTAAAGCTATACATGCTCAGCCTTCCATATGCCCACATTTCACTCAGGCCCGGATCAAACATGGAGCAGCAGTTCCCTGAACATGAGACTACCACGAAAGCATCAGCCCTTCTCAGGTTCTCCCCCATATGTAGTATCGTTGAAAGCAGGGTTGGCCCTTCTGGAGATGTCCAGATGTTTTGGACTCCAGCTCTCACAAGCCCTCCCTAGAATGGCCGGTGTTCAGGACTATTGAACTTATTATCTAAAGTATCTAAGGGAACCAAGTTGCCTTCTTCTGACTTGACAGCACCTTGTAATGGCATCATATTGTCAATAATCCTGACTGGATTATTGTAACGTGCTCTACGTGGGGCTGCCCTTGAAGACGGTCTGGATACTTCAGTTGGTTCAGAACAGAGCTGCCAGGATATTAACGGGGACTGGCAGTTATTCACACATAATGTCGGTCCTCTGTCGTCTACACTGGCGACCGATTGAAGTCTGGACCCAAGTTAAGGTGCTGGTG